AGGGCAGCCGATCTCAGGCGGCTGTGGCCAGCGCCTGGCCACGGGCTGGCAGTGAGGGCGAGACTGCGGGGGAGATGACGGCCACGGCTGGGAAAGCATGTGGGGGCGCTGGCTGGAAAGGCGCAATAACCCGCGGGCAAAGGGCAGGGCCGCGGGGCAGGCGCGGGGTTCCGCAGTCGCCCAGAAGCCCAGCGGCTGCCCAGCCCCACGCAGCGGCTCCTGGAAGGCGCCCTGGGGAGCACGGACAGGGCTCCTCTCCGCACAAGGGAGGCCCGCAGAGCCCTGTTCGCCATGCACACAGGACTGGGGTGCAGGCCAGAAGGGGGTGGGGCTCAGCACTGGCGGACCACACGCCGCGGCTCAGGGGCGGCGGGGACACAGGAGGGGTCCGGGCGGCGTGGGGTCACCCCACTGAAGCGCTACCCGCTGCCCAAAGGGAGGCTCGACCACAGCCACACAGACCAGGGCCTGGGGTGCGGTGAGGAGGGGTCCCCTGCTCGCGGGGCGGGGCCTGCGCCCCCTCTGCACCGCGTCTGGCGGGGTGGGGTAGGGCTGGGGCCTGCTGCCCCTCCGGAGGCCAGGCCAGGGGGCCCAGGGCCCAGCAGGCCCCGCCCCCCGCCCCCGCCCCACCTGGGCTCCCGCCCTAGGAGAGTCCGGCCCTGCTTGGGGCAACAGGGAGCAGGCGGGGCAGGGGCTCTGCCAGATCTGGGGGGAACGTGGCAGGGTGGGGGCTACTCCCCGTCTGAGCGAGCGTCAGCCCCAGCCCGGGGCCTCCCCCAGCCCAGGCAGGCTCCAACCCGCCCTCCAGCCTCGTCCTGAGGCGGCTGCAGAGCTGGGCCACCTGCCCCACGGGCCACTGTCTGCGGCAGCCTGAGCACCCCGTGTGCGCGCCGTGGGGGTCCGCGCCCAGCACCCCGTGTGCACTCTGTGGGGTGTCCGTGCCCAGCACCGTGGGATCCGGGCCCAGCACCCCGCGTGTGCTCCGTGGGGGGTCCGCGCCCAGCACCCCGTGTGCGCGTTGTGTGGGTCCGTGGTGGGTGCGTGCCCAGCACCCCGCGTGCGCTCTGTGGGGGGTCTGGGCCCAACACCCCGTGCGTGCTCGGTGGGGTGTCCATGCCCAGCACCCCGCGTGTGCTCTGTGGGGGATCTGCGCCCAGCACCCCGCGTGCAGGTTGTGGATGTCCGCGCCCAGAACCCCGTTTGCGCTGGGGGGGGGGGCGCGCCTGGCACCCGAGTGCGCCTGGCACCCCGTGAGCAGCCGCCGCGTGAGCGGGTCCCAGAGGTCTGGGGCAGCCCCGTCCCCAGGGTCGGGTGGGCTGCGCGCCCTCTGGGCAGCCGA